TGCATCCAACTGGATCCAAAGCTGACAGGTAAACAGAAAGAAAAGTTTCCCAACCACTGGCCCCAGACTGGACAGTTGGGCCAACCACTTCCAGTCCTGCATGATCAACCAAGGCTGCAGTTGGATGGTCCTTGACAATTTGGCCCATGTCAGTCTGCTGCCAATGGGAAATTGTCTGCAAACACCAGCAAACATCGAGCCAGCACCATGGCCCCTGTCCAAATTGACTGTGACAGCCTGTCACTCATTTTGGAGCAGATGGAATGTCATTTGCAGCCTCTGGTAGGTCAATCGACTTTCATGTAATCCAAATAAATTACATCAGATATTCTATCAGTGTGCCCACCCGACCACCCCTGCTGAGACCATGCTGCACCACTTGAAATGGTGTTCATACCATGGAAACCTCTTCCCCTGCTCTCAGGTTGATAGGTACAGGTCCATACAATATGGGGAATGACAGACAACACAGATGAACACCAGCAAACATCAACCCCTTACCAAAGCCCCTATCCAGGCCATGTCCAAATGCTGGGAGACCCTGGGACCTGGTTCAAGCACATTGATCATCATTCCCAGATTCCTGTATGTCTGTATTACTGCATGTATTACAATGAAATAGAGAATCTACATCAGATAGTATACCAGTATGCCCACTGGACCACCCTGCCTTGGAGCATGCTGGCCCACTTGGAATGGTGTTCGTCCATACAGGCCCACTTGCATGGGTCTTGTAGTACCATGTCCTGGTCCGTCCACCATGACAAACACTGATGAACATGGGCAAACATTTGTGAACATAGGTCCAGCATGGATGGCCCTGAGTAAACATACTGGAGGACTTGTTTACTTGTTTGGAATGCATTAATCAGCTTTTCCAGACTCCCCTAGGTCGATTGCATGTCTGGTAATACAAATAAAATACATCAGATAACATATCAATGTTCCTGTCTGACCACTCTCCCTCATGGCATGCTGGACCATTTGAAGTGGTGTTTGTCCCTCCTAGATCAATTGCAATTGACCTTGCTAGGACATTTACAGGTCCATACAGCCAGACAAACACCAATGAACACCAACGAACATCACTCCAGAAGTGATGCCCCTGTCCACATTGACTGGGACACCTTGTGACTTGTGTGGAACGCATTAATCACTTTTCCCAGACTCTCCTAGGTCTATTGCATGTCTGGTAATACAACCAAAATACATCTTATAACATTCTGATGTTCCCATCTGACCACTCCCCCTTGGAGCATGCTGGGCTGCTTGACATGGTGTTCATCCCCCCTAGCTCAATTGCAATTGACCTGTTCTGAACATGTCTAGGTCTGTACAGCAGGGCAAACACCAACACACACCGAAGAACACTGTTCCAGAACCAAAGCCCCTGTCCACATTGACTGGGACACCCTGTGACTTGTTTAGAGTGTGCTAACCATCTTTGCCTGACTCTCCTATGTCAATTGCATGTCTTGTAATACAACCTACATACATGATATAACATACCAATGATCCTGTCTGACCACTCCCCATCATGGCATGCTGGACCCTTGAAGTGGTGTTTGTCCCCCCTAGGACCACCAAAGTCAACCTAATTTGGACATCCACAGGTCCATACAGCAGGACGAACACTGACGAACACCAATGAACATTGATCCAGAACCAAAGCCCCTGTCCACATTGACAGGGACACCCAGAGACCTGTTTTGAGTGTACTAACCATCTTTGCCTGACTCACCTATGTCTATTGCATGTCTGGTAATACAACTAAAATACATCTTAAGACATACCAATGTTCCCATCTGACCACTCCTCAGAGCATGCTGGATCGCTTGAAGCAGTGTTCATCCCCCCTTGGACCACCTCAATCAACCTAATTTGGACATCCACAGGTCCATACAGCAGGATGAACCCCATCGAACACCAATGAACACCAACAAACACCAACAAACACCAACCCACACCAATGAACATTGATCCAGAACTGAAGCCCCTGTCCACATTGACTTGGACACCCTGTGACTTGTTTAGAGTGCACTAACCATCTTTCCCAGACTCTCCTAGGGTCTATTGCATGTCTGGTAATACAACTAAAATACATGATATAACATACCAATGTTCCCATCTGACCACTCCTCCTCGGAGCATGCTGGATCGCTTGAAATGGTGTTTGTCCCCCTAGGACCACCTCAATCAGCCTAATTTGGACATCCACAGGTCTGTACAGCAGGACGAACACTGATGATCACCAATGAACATTGATCCATAACTGAAGCCCCTGTCCACATTGACTGGGACACCCTGAGACCTGTTTCAAGTGTACTAATCATCTTTTGCTGACTCCCCTAGGTCTATTGCATGTCTTGTAATACACATAACATACATAGTATAACATACCAACATTTCCATCTGACCACTCCTCCTTGGGGCATGCTGGACCCCTTGAAGTGGTGTTTGTCCCCCCTAGGACCACTGCAATCGACCTACTTTGGAGATC